CAGTCCCTCAGCCAGACAGGACTTGGACCCCCCTGCACTATTTGGGGGTGAAATGAGGCTCAGATTCCCCTCCCGGAGCAGCCTTACTTCCTATGCAGTAACCACAAACGTGACTCTTCAGCCTGGCAGCTCATGGGGTCACCTGAGAAGTAGGAGATCCATATTCATATGCACTAGTTCAGCACAGGGGTTTGAAGCAAAGTTTCCCACTTTTATGGGCAATGTCCTAACTACCAGGCCAGAGGGTGTTTTGAAGGAGGGTCTTCCTTAGGCCTGGAGACTTTACACCTTGAATTGAATAATCATTGAGAGAGAGAGGTTCAAGAACATGCTGGGGACACGTGTAGACTCCAGTCCCCGATCCCCAGTCTCGAATTGGGCTGCAGAGAGAGAAATCGGCTTTTTTTTTTTTTTTAAGGTTATACATCAAACTAATGAAAGGTGTAGAACTGAGTTGTTACTTGTAAAGTCTTCTCCTGGCTGTCTCCATACCCCTAAACCCGGGGCAGCGAAGGTAATTGTGTGTACCCACTGACCCTAAACAGAAAGCTGAGAAACTCACCCCTTCTGAAAATAATTCAGACATGATACTGCACCCCCCTCCGCAAGGGGGAAGAAAAAAGGAACAAGTGATTGTAAACCTTGCACAATCTTACCTCTGTCTTGCAGCACTTGTCATCTTGCATTAAGCATGAATAACTAATCAACTAAACACAGATTCACTGATGAAAAGAAACCCGTATTGGATGTGGTACGTGAGATGGATACAACCGACGTTTTAATTTCACTGGTAAACAGCACTACAGAGGCGCAGCGTAACCTTTCAGATGAAGGAGTCGATCGCTGTGCTTTAAAACGCACCCTAAAGGGTAGTAGGTGATCATGGACTTAAAGGAGGCACGCAAATATTTCATGTATCCGAGTGTGTTCGCTCTGCCTCTTGCTGCCCTGCACTCGTGCACCTGCCTACCCAGGGCAAGCTGCATGTGAAATATTATTGCAGTGCTGGGCCATCCCTTCACGCAGGCCGAGCTTGATCTGGGGCGGTGCTGAGCTCCTGCATTGCTGGAAGGGCTCCTTTGATCTGACCTCATGCATCTCACTAGCCAGCCCCTCTTTTCTCTGCGTTGAGCCAAACAGCCTGTGCCCATAAAAGCATCCAGCCCGCACATGAAGATCGTCTCAAAAGATGGGGAATCCACTCGTCTCCCTTGATCGCTTGTTCCAATAATTCCCAATGAGAAATTTGTGCCAAATGTTGCCCTTGAAATGGGCCTGGCTTCAGCTTCCAGAGAGACACGGTTAGCCAGATTAAGTCGGCAGTCAAGTAGGAGGCAGGGTGCATCAACATCTTCTAAACTAACCGAAGGAGATGCATATATGCATATAACCCAAGACATTGGTTCTTGCCATGCCTCTCTGTGCTAAGTGGAAGAGCACTGCAATACTTGGTGTTTCCTCCCTATTAGGGACTCTTACACGCTAATCAAGTCACCTCCCAGCAGTTTTCTAGTAGTCTTGTTTTAGCATAACTCCGTAGACTGCAACTGCACTCAAAAGCAGCAGTCAGGTCCTGGACACTTGACAGGCCCCGTGTCTATGCTGGTGCATTGTTCAGTCTTGAGTGACACAAGCTACCTTGCAGACGGGGTTCTTTGGGTAGATGTGATATCTTTTATTGGGCCAACTAAATAGTTGGAAAAATTGTCCTTTGCAAGCTTTCGGGCACAAGCACCCTTCTTCAGGCAGAGGGAGAGTTGGCCTCTGTTTTGTCTTCTCCTGGATGGGACAGAAGCCAATGTGTGACGAGAAGATCAGGGCCAATATACCGTAATGCTGTCTTTCCTGCGATGCTAAAACCCCTCCGGTCTTTATACAGATCTGGTGTGCTCAGGCCTTTCTAGGCTGTTGATACTTTTTGCAGTTCTCAGCTTAGCAAACAGATTACTGGGTGGCACTGAGCTGTATTGTTAGCTTTTGGTCAGAAAAGCACTTCTGTGCCAGTATAACTGCATCCATACCAAGGAGTTTTACTTCTTTTAACTCTGCTGGTTTCCAAGTTGCACGAGGCCGTGAAGGCAGTCGGAGCTGAACCTGGATCTCCACTGGCCAGGCCACCAGACCCTGACAGGGAAAGAGATCGGCAGTGAGACTGATTGCGCTGAATTGGGACCATGCATCTCTGTACTGATTTATGCTGTGTCCTGTCGTGCTCTGACAGTGTGGGGAAGGGCTGTATTCTTCCTTTTTCCCAAGTGTGCGGGGATAGTTTGCCTCGACACATTTATTCCAGTACCGTCCCGCCTTCTCTCCCTAATTTCTATTCTTATTTCCTTGCTTCACCATGAGCGTGGCATTCATTTCCCCACGCCATGCTGCATCTGCCGCTACCGTGTTCAGCCATGTGCATGTTTAGTGACATGTGTGCGCACATGCTGATTTGAGGTCCGATTTTTGATGCTGGATTTATCTGGCTCTTCTTCCTTCTCCTTGAGTTCATTCGTTCGATCACATCCCTTGTCAAAGGACCTACACCAACCATCCAGGCCAGTCCATTACTCGACGGCACTGAGGTTTATTGTTAGCTTTTGGTTGTTTGTGCTTATGGAACGTCCAATGTGAGATTTCAGCCGAACGTGCCCATTAGCTGTAAATACCGAGGACTTTACCAGCCGATCAAAGGAGCACCTCTGTTGGCTGTGCCGATGGAGGTACTGCATCACTAGCCGCACAAGCCGCGTTTTCCACGGCACGTCCAGTAGAGGGCAATGGTCTCCATGCACACACATTAATTCAGCACATTACAGGCCAAATCATCTACCCTGGCCGATGGCCGCGTGTACGCACACCTGCCCACTGGGAGAGGTGGGAGAAGTCGTGCTGTAACCTATGTATCCAGGGCGCGAGCTGCTCAGGAAATAGGTGCAAGCGTCGCAGCAGGTTGGCTGGTGTGAGCCATCGAATACAACCGCCTCCGGCCCAGAGACCGGATTCGGCCCTTTCCATTTGCAGTCTGTTTGCATCGGGGCTGAATTGGCTCCCTGGAAGGTGTAGCAGCAAATGGGTCAGCGGGCGTTTCGTCTCGCGCCTTCCTCCCCACTGGTTTCCCCGCTGCGGTGTCTCACTCTTTTGGGCTTTGGACATTTGGGAAATGGCAAGAGCAGGTACGGGGACAAAGCACTTCTGCTGGGGTAAAGCTAGAGTAACTCCATTCACTCCCACAGTGTTATTCGAGCTGCACTGGGTCTGGCTCATTATGTTCCCGACCCTGAAACCCTCTTAGCTTGCATTGCACTGCGACACCGGGGGGCTTGGGCAAGAGTCTTGCTCGAGCCGACTGCGGCTAAACAGATACGAAGGGACTTATACACCCCATAGGTGAAGGGGGATAAGCCACTCTGGTACGAGGCAGCTTTATACTGATACAACTCTTCCACACTAGGGGTTGTAGTGACGTTACTATACAGGTAAAAAAAGTCAGATCTTAATACAAAAAATACGTGTAGATGGGGATTAGGGGCCCTGAACGTCTGGATCCAGATTAAATCTGTAGAAAGTGCAGAAGAACAAGAGGCCTTCAGGGGAAATAATAATAACAATAATAAAAAAAGCATAGGCCCATCGACAAATAGGTTGAAGAGACCATTAGCTCTTCTTGCCTGTGCTCCTGTATGGCGCAGCTCATAGTTTCACTGGGTTACGCCCGTGCCGTGTCTGGTAACTGTAGAGAATAAACCAGCTGTAAAGAGGCAGGCTGTGAACGTAAAGATTGTAAATACTAGTTGGTGCAAAGTGTCTTCCTGTTGCGGGGCAGCCTCCGACTGCGCCAAACCACTCACCTGCAAAGGGGAACTGGGAGAGCGTCGGCTTTGTATCCGATGGGTCCCAGCGTGAGCTGGCACGGCGGCAGATGGAGAGACCGAGGTGCTTTTGCCAAGCGTCTCCTCGGAGGCAAGGGTATTTGATGCTCGATAGTTGGCTGAAGGTTGGAAACAGCCTGGCCCCAACTAACCAGTGCTGTCTTGGTCCCAGCCCAGAGGTGAACCCCGCTGGAGGGAGCTGGATGGCTGCCTGGCAGCCCCGAAAATTGCCCGTTGCTAGTTCTCGATCAGAAAAGGGAGGGTCGCTGCTAGTTTGAACTTCCCTTTACAGCTCTGAAAGTGCTTCGCCACGAGGTAAGGTGAGGCGTGGGGCCGGGGTGGGGTGGGGGGACGACCACACTCGGGTCTTGCAGCAGCCAGGGGCGGGCTTGCACCCGTTTCCCGCGCCCTGTCCACCGCGAGGCACGTCAGGTCATCGGGCAGCTCTGCCCAACGCTTCCCATGCCTAGATCACTAGTTGGACCAGTGTTAATAGGATCTAGCCGTCTCATTGCCCATAAAGCAGGGGCAAGAGCTGGGCTGGGTGGCGGGGCAGCCCGTGAGCCCATCCTGACTGCCGCTTGCCTCTGCAATCTAGCAAGCACCGAGTTGCAGGGATGCTGCCACTCAGCATTATCTTATACGGCGAGCACGCCCTTGCACACAGCAGAGCCCTCGCCCCTTAAGCGAGCTTAAGGCAGCATCTAGCAGGAACCAGAGGGCCTCTGCAGGGGATGCCCTTCATTTCTGCAAATCTTTGGCTTCAGTGGGCTTTCCCCTTTGCTAGTTCCCCTTTGCTGGTTCCCCCCACTGATGGGGCAGTATTGCTGAAATGCTGCTGCACATGGCATTACCCGTCCTTGGCATGGTTGTTTTTTTCCCCCCCCCCACCCAGCGGACGTTGTAGTTTTTCAGCCACTTTGACGTGAAAAGCAGGACCATCGGTCTTCCGCGGAAGGCAGGGAATCGCCGCCGAAATACTAGTGGCGGTGGTGTTAGAAAGCGAAGCACAACAGTGGGAAACCAGAGTGCGCAAATGACTGCTCTCACTGAGCGAGCCTGAGCGGTGCACTCAAGTCACCCAAGCAGAGTGAAGTACAGGAAGGAAACGCGCTGTACAGATGAGAAACTATATTAAAAAAAATTAATGTGACTTTTAATTCTCTAGGATGTTACTGGTAACACGAGCGAGATCTTTTCAAAGACATAAATCCAAATTCTTTCCTCCGTTGTGATTATATTCCTCGGAGTTGCTTAAGCCTGGCAGAAGAATTGGCCCCGGGAGTTTTATCTTGAAAATGTCCCTTTAAAATCCCACACCTTGGCTAGGAAGATTAAAAGGGGAAGATAATCTTAGGCATCGCATTTCTGTTTGATGATTTCTGTATGTCTATTATGAGAATAGTTAAGATGTGAAAGAGGCTTAGGCGGGTGGAGGGGAGGGGGAAATAATCTATTTTTCTCTACCTCCCCCCTCTTAACTTTGTACGTTGGAAGTGGTAGGTCACTTCCTTTGCTTTGCTGAATTTAGTATCACACAAAAGGCAGGCGGGAGTTATTCCTACCCACTTTCCCTTGTGGCGAAAATGCCTTCAAAAATCAGTGGGAGAAGAGGGAAAAAAAAATGTATGTATACTTCCTTCCTAAAAAAGAAAAGATTAACGACGTACTGTACATAAAGCCCGACAAATGCATCAGAAACTTGATTTTGGGAAGTTAGCTGATCCCTAACTATTCTGATTGATCATGTTTCTGGAGCACGGGGAGGTGAGGTTTAGGCCTTGATCCCGCCAAGGTTTATGCACCTGCTTAAATGTAGTGAGTTAATAAGGGGGGTTGCTGGTCGTAGCCGAGCCGGCCTGAGGACACGGGCAGGCCAGGTTACACAAGTAGATGGGACCTCTTCTATTCGACCAACTGAGTAGCTGGAAAAAAACTCCCCGCAAGCTTTCGGGCGCAGTCCCCTATCGTCAGGCGCAATAAGGCTACTTCAAGCGCGTCAAGATAAGCACCCTTTTGGCAGGATGGGGATTTCTGTTTCTTGGTTAGAAAGTATTTCAGGTCCCTGGGGGAAAATGGAAACTACGTGCGTTTGCAAAAAGAAAAAGTCTGTGCCTGAAACACTTGGGAACAAAACTGTTCAGAACTTGGTTTTTCACAGATTCACAATTTTGGGCGTTTCCTGACTCGGGCAAAATTCAGGTGTGGGGGATCCCGCTGTTTCGACGTGGCGAGGCGCTCGGCACCAACGGAGACAGGCCAACTGGCAGCGTCAGGCGTTTCTCTGGTTAGCTGGCACGGACGGCTTTACTCGTACACGTCCCCGATGACGCTCGGCACGTCTGCGGCACCGTTGTCCGAGGCGTCCCAGAAACACGGAAATGTGGGAGCAGCGGGCAAGGCACGCCTTGAATTAAGCGTCCCCTTGGGAGAGCCGCGGTCCTCCTCCTCCTCAGGGCGGGAACCCGATGCTGGCTGCCCTCGGGACCGCCAAGCACCGGGTAGCGCTTGGCTTGGCTTTTCAAGCGTGCAGGCACGCGTTCAGCAGTCGCATGCTACGACACGCTCCCGCCGAGCTTTGCCACCTGCACCGTTCTTCCTCCGCCGCGCGCTGAACGCCCGTCGAAGCGCTGCGGTGCGCGCCCCTGCTTCAAGCCCCATTCTTTTTTGTGCATTTCAAGCAAACCGCCCCTCTCTCTCCGTCCAGGTCAGCGACCCCCCAGTTTGGAGAGATTCGACTTTTTGTTTGTGTGCTTGTTTTTTTGGGGGGGGGGGGCAGCTCCTGCAAACCTGGACACCCCGACTCCAGCACGGGGCCCTTTGGGGAGGGGGGAGGGGAGCCCACACCGCTTCTCGCGCCTCCTCCTGGCAAAGGTGCCCCCGCGGGGGTGCGCGCGTGCATGTGCGCCGGGCGGCGGCGGGGGGCGGGGCCGGGCCGGTGACGTCGGCGGCGCTGGTTCCACCGCGCTGTAGAGCCCCGCCCCCC